CGGAGTTTGGTAAATATTATCCTAAATTAATAAATATTAATAACATATGTAATCCGTATTATTTTATTGATAAAAGCTTTCATCCTATTTTTTTGCATATCTTATACATTTCTTGTAAGAATCTTAACGATACCATTTATTTTAATAGAATACATATTTTTTGGATCATTCTCTCCTAAATATTAAAGCAAATCACTTCCATACTTATATATCTTCAGTCTACTCATAAACAACTATAACTTTATCAAAAAATAATTTAAGATTTCGAATGCCACAAAATAGGGCTAAACCTGGTCTAAATACTTTTAAAAAAAAGTGCTGTATTCTGAAATATAGTTATTATTCAAGATCCTTTCAAATGAAATATAAGTGATAACTTGATAGAAAGACATAAATTCTGTAAAGTCAATAATATTAGAGAACAAATGATAAAATAATCTTTATATAAATTATACCTGTTGAAACTCATCCTAGATTTGTTTATCTTTTATATTATAATTTTTAATATGTTTTTTTAATGATATGTTTCAAATTAATATAAAATTAATAATTATAATAGTGATTATAATTATAATAATGAATTATAATAGTGATAAAGAACAATGGGTAAAAAGTGCCGATTTTGGCCCATCATAGGAAACAAACAAAACATACTATTTCTATAAGATTTTGACCAGCTGAACACGATGCCGCCGATAGTTTTCCTTTAAACCCTGGGGCACATGTTCAAATTCAAGGATTCATTATCCAATAATCAAATGGCCTGGGAAGCCTTTATGTACTTTGAAGCTATTATTAGGTGTGTGAATTAATTCGGTCCATCTGGCGGTTAATTGCTGTACTATGTAATTTTCTAACCTCTAATGTCTGCAAAAGGCTTTATTTTTTAGTTTTAATATCTGACAATAATATTCAGTTGACGAACGTTTGGATTTGTAACAATAACATTGTGTTTATCTGATTCGAAAATGTCGAAATTCGATCCAAAAAAGCATAATTTCCGGGAAGTTCTCATTTTCTGTTTTCATTTGAAAAAAACAGCCGCTGAAGCTCATCGAATGCTCATAGAAGCTTATGGTGAAAGTGCTCCCACCGATAAATCATGCAGAGAATGGTTTCGACGTTTCAAAAGTGATGATTTCAGTGTCGATGACAAACCTCGTCCAGGTCAGCCGAAGAAGTTCGAGGACGAGGAATTGCAGGCGCTAATCGATGAAGATCCGTGTCAATCGAAACATGAGCTAGCGCAATTGTTGAATGTTGATCGATCAACAATTTCTGTGCATTTGGTAGCCATGGGAAAGATTTACAAAGAAGGAAGATAGATGCCATGCAAACTGAAAGAAAGAGACATCGAGAGGCGAAAAGCCATGTCTGAAATCTTGCTTGCTAGGCAAAAAAGAAAAGGTTTCTTGCATCGTATTGTGACTGGAGACGAAAAGTGGATATATTTCGATAATCCCAAACGAAGGAAATCCATTAGCGACCCAGGAAAACCATCCACATCGATACAAAAACGGAATATTCACGACAAGAAAGTAATGCTCTGTATATGGTGGGACCAGAAGGGTGTAGTGTATTATGAACTATTAAAACAGAGCCAAACCATCACTGCCGAACTTTACCAACAACAATTGATCCGTTTAAACAACGCATTGAAGAATAAGCGGCCGGAATATGCAAAGAGACACGACAAAGTGATCTTCCAGCACGATAACGCTCGGCCATATGTTGGAAAGATTGTGAAGACCACCTTGGAAACACTTGGCTGGGACGTTTTACCTCACCTCACTCGCCGTATTCACCAGATATTACTCCATCCGATTATCCCTTGTTCAGATCGATGGCACACGGGCTTTCGGACTAGCACTTCAACAATTATGAAAAAATAGAGAAATGGCTCAATGAATGGATCGCTTCGAAGGACGAGTCGTTTTTCCGTCACGGAATGCAACAACTGCCAAACAGATGGAAAAAAATAATAGCAAGCGATGGCAAATACTTTGATTAGTGTACTTTTTTACGTTCTTTTATACTAAAGTCTTTTTTGGAAGAAAAAACAGACCGAATTAATTCACATACCTAATACAAATTGTGTATTAGCTAAATTAGCTGAAGATAGTTTAGATTTTCGATTTAGAAATATTTTCTATTTAATAGTTAAAGGTGTTCTCTTTTTATGCAAAATTCGCTAACAAGTAATATACACGGTATTACATATCACCCAAGAAAAAATGGTACTAGATTATTTTACTCTGGTTTCAAGAATATATTGTTACAATAGTGCTTTAACTTATGTTAATTTGATAATTTGATTTGTTAATTTGAAATTTCCAAAAGTTGATAAGTTAACAAAAAATAGGGCATTATTGTAACAATATATTTTTGAAACAAAATAGAGTAAAAAAGTCTAGTACTATTTTTTCTTCCGACAAACAGTGAGATATCGTAAGTTAAATACTGACAAAGTTATTGAGGATTTAAGGATATTTAAGGATACATGTAATGATACATGTGATTTACGTTACGAAAAACGTAAATCGTTATATATCCTTAAATATCCTTAAATATCCTTAAATATTAAGTTTTCCTTAAATATCTCAAAAAATATTAGACAAATAAAAAATGTTTCAGATAAAAGTTGTTCAAATTAATTGGTAGAAAAAGATGATATAATAAAAAATAGGGGTTTCTATTTAAAAAAAGTAAGGATCAGTAAATATCTCAAAAGTGGCGCTGTCTATAAACAAAATGATATAGTTGTTATATGGCCTCTTTGAAACTATACAACTTTTGTCTGAATTTTTTCTTTAGAATGTCATGTTTACAAAAAAATCCAATGATACGGGTGATCTGTGATACCGTGTATATTATTTGTTAGCAAATTTTGCATAAAAAGAGAACACCTTTAACTGTTGAATAGAAAATATTTCTAAATAAAAAATCTAAACTATCTTCAGCTAATTTAGCTAATACACAAATTTACAATAGCTTCAAAGTACGCAAAGACTTTTCGGGTCATTCGATTATTGGATAATAAATCTTCGGATTTGAACATGTTTCCCGGAGTTTAGAAGACAACTAACGGCGGATTCGTGTTCAGCAGATCAAAATCCTATAGAAATAATGTGTTTTACTCATTCTCCACCAAAATGGGCCAAAATAGGCATTTTTTACCCATTGTTCTTTGCTATTATATTACAAGTGAATCGAAACTTGCTATTATATTTTATAAGTGAATCGATTTTTTATGCAAGTGATATATTTTAAATTATACTATCATATAATAATATAAATTAATAATGTCACATACTATACTAATAAAAATAAACAATATATATTTAATTTAAAACATTAAAAGTAAAATCAAAATGATTGTAAAAACTTAAATTATTTAGAAATATTTTAAAGAAACATTACACTTGAGCAAAATATAATCAAATTATTGTCAGATATAAATATGTCTAAATAATATAAAAGTATAACATTGTATATGTACTCATAATGTGAAATTTGATATTAATTGATATAATAAACTGGATGATGTAATCAAATAAGAAATATATTTGTTTTTATAGTAATATGTTTATCTAAATTTGATAGAAATATTATTGTTTTAATATGTCTATGTCAACATATGATATCTGATACAATAAGCATATCTACTTGTGTGAACTCATTAAACTCAACAAAAAGGTTCTTCTTATTTTGTACACAGTTATGATAATTATTAAGATAGTAATTAAAGAATATTAGCAAAAAAGTACATTGATATAACAAGACATATTCTTTGGGCAGTAAATAGTAGAAGCATGCAGTCTAGTATTATATATTCTATACAATGTTCAAAAGATTATCAATAGATCCAGACATCTTCAATGAAACTTCATCTAAAAAACTCATCTCACTACATTATGAATACTAATTTGCTAATTTCCTCTAATTAATATCTTAATGATTATTAAAGTTGTTTGCAAAATAATTTTTGCAAATAAAATATTTTTGCAAAAGAAATATTTTTGTTCAGTTTGATAAGTTGTACTTACACACAAGATATATATATTAAATTAAATATGTTGTATAATCTGCAATATAAGTATGATATAGTTATGATTCATGAATATAAAGTATAATATTCTATACAAATATACGAGGGCAGTCTGAAAAGTTCTCGGCCTAACAATGAAAAAAAATTTTTTTGCCATGAAATATGTTTTATTTTTTAATATAATCTCTTGAAACTTCAATACATTTATTGTAACGTCTTTCCAATAATTCAATACCATCATTAAAGTGTGATTCTGGAAGGTTCTTTTCACTCTGGTGTACAGTAATGGATTCAAGTTCCATCAACAGTTATGAAACGATATTTGAAATCCGTTTTATTTTGCTTAAAACGATTAAAATGTGCCAAACACGCTTGAGAAATACACATTCGAATGTGTTTTTGGTCAATTGTTAGCAAATGTGGCACCCATCTTGCACAAAACTTTTTCAACTGGTGCTACTACTCGAATGACTTGACAGATCAAATAAAATTTTACATGGGTTTATAGCAGAGATGCCACTTTCCAATACAATTATAGTTTGACAGTTTCTAATGCCATATATGTATCAGATCGAGAACTTTTCAGACTGCCTACGTATACTATGAACATTTTTATATCTTTTGTATTTATATTGGATTAGTTAATTTCAAATAGCTTTCTTGTCTTTTTCAATGATAAATATATTTTCTATGATAGAAAAGTATAAATATTATTAGGATAATAACAAAAGATTATATGCCACAATATTAATTAGTTGATGAATAATTTATTTTGTTAAATAATATAAGATTAAATTTGGCTCAAATATAAAAACAAATCCTAACCAATATAAGCACAATATAAATACATTATAACTTCTATATTTCTGTGCTAAAAGTTTCCTATTCTCATTTAATATTAAACTAAAATATCTATAATTATAATAAGGAATAGATAATGAAAGCACAATACCTTTGTAAAGATATAATGAGATGAACACTATATTGTACGTATGTATGTATATATGTTTTATATTCAATTTAATACACACATCCTCTTGATATTATGATATTGGGATATTATCAGTTTAATTTCACTTTTTTTAATACTTTTATATCTCTTAATTCCAATAATCTAAGACAAAAAAACTGTCATGTTTGTTGATAAAATATTACTAAGTATTGCATATCGTTCCAGTACAATTATCTTTGACAGTTTATCTTTTTATCCTGAAATGTGAAAAACTCTTTGATTAAATGAAATACTTTTCTTAAGAAATAATACTAAATTCCTTTATATTCAAATAACTGCTTCTTTTATCCAAAAAATAATACAAATTGCACACAAGATATGGTGGTATTTTGAAGGTGTCATTAGATTCTTCAAAATGATACACATTTTATATTTTGCAATACTGAAATTATATATATGAATAAAAATTAATTTCTATAATAAAATTAATATCATTACTAAAGCACCTACTATTAAAAATAATGTAAATGAAATTCTGTAAACGATAATTCCTCTTGCTAACAATTGGTAAATATCACTCACAATCCACTTTCAGTTCACCTTTGTCCATTGAATAACAGATAGAGCGAAAAACGGAGAGCACTGTGTCATACTAAAGCCAGCGGCACACGGTGCTTGTTTTCGTGCTGGATTGCTTGCTGGATGAAAATATTGCATTCTGATTGGTGCATTTCCATCCATCTTCGAAAATGTACCAATCAGAACGCAGTATTTTCATCCAGCAAGCAATCCAGCACGAAAACAAGCACCGTATGCCGCTGGCTTAAGGACCACTTTTAAAGGCTCGTCTACAATAGCTGTAAGAGTAAACGTTATTCTACAATAGGTGTCATAAGTTGTAAAGGCTCGTCTACATTAGCTGTAAGAGCAGAGAGAAGCCTGAGAGCGGGCATGGCTGCATTTACAGCGTTATGGAAAAGTTGGCTGATTCGAAGCGCCAACTGGGTCCATTTTTCATGGATATGAACTACTAAGCCAATGTCCACGATTTGTTGGTACTATTCCGTCCAATGTTCATAATTATTTGGTTCTGTTCTGTGCTAAGTTCACGAGCGAGCTAAATTAGTTAGATAAAAACGAAGAATCGGTCTTCGTCTCACCACCAGCGAATAGACAATCGCGACGAAGCGAGCCAGCAGCGATGTTATCATAAGGCAGACGTCGCCGTCCTACTTATCTTTTTTTCTATACTATCTAACTATCTATCTATCTATTTCTCTATAGCCGCGTTCCGGTATTCACTGCCAGTACTGAAAATATATAGTATGCGTCACGTATATTATAGATCTTCAGTACTGACAGTGAATATCGGAACGCAGCCTATATCTATCTATCCATCTATCTATTTATCTATCTATCTATCTATCTGTCTATCTATTTATCCATCTATATCTATCTCTATATCTATCTATCTATCTATCTATTTATCCATCTATCTTTTTTCTACCCATGTATCATTGCAACCTATCCTGTTCTATCCATATTTCTTGCAAATGCAAACAATTAATATTACATTAATTTTTATATTAAAATATATTTTTTATACTATAACATGCTGAATTAATAATTAATAAAATTCAACAGGTTATACTATAAAAACGAACACTTACGTAAAAAAAATTATTATATTATTAAAAAGTTTGCATTTATTTTTTGACGGAGATCACAATTTTCTCGCGGTTTCCGTTGAGCAACAATATGCACGTTATCTATTCGTAAAATTAAATAATAAAGTCGTAATTGAAATATGATAATAAAACTAATTTCTTTTTTTACTAGAGTAAATTTATTTTTGCTACGAAAAGAAAAATGTAACAATGGAATATCTTTTACAAAACAAATAACATTTCATTTAATTTTTAATTTAAATTTATTAGCATAAATATATTATTCTGTCATATACTTTAATAACAAATCATTTTTAAAAGATGTATATATTGGCTAAGAGTAGATTTCTATTAACTTTTTGTCTCTCATTATAATTCTCTCTTCTTTATTTGGGCATTAATACTAAATATTCTTTATATACATATACACTATATATGTGTCATTTATTTATATATATATATTGTCATGTAATTAATATATTTAATCAAGCCGTAAGAACACGAGAAGAGAGGAAGAGCGAGCAAGTGCGCGAGAGAGAGAAAGAACGAGCGAGAGAGAGAAAGAGCGAAGTATAGGTGTAGCGAAAAAAATCTCGCGGCTCACGCAGTCAATAAGCTAGACGAGCGGGAAAGAAACAAATAATATGTCGACGCTCGTCTAGTCTCCCATGTGCTACCTCGCGTGCATGAAAAATAATTCCTCGCTTCGCACGTTCCCTTAACACGAGACGCTACCGCGTCTTTTGATGTCTCTGGAGCGTGAAAGATGAAAGAAAAGCGGAGAGATGTTCGCTTAGCGATAAGATCGCCGCTACCTCGCCTCGTGTTTACTGCCGCGCGCCGCTCAGTAGTGAGACAAAGACGGAACGATTGTCTGTCGTCTGTCTTTTTCTAATCTACTATCCATTGCATGGAAGTAGTACGGACACGAAACTAGGCGCATTTTACTTTTATCACCGCGAAAGTGCGCCTAGCGAACGTAGTTTAGGCGCATTTTGGTCAGATGGCGCATCTAAAATACGCCTAGCCGTATCCCCTGAAATACGGCCGGTGGCCGCTCTCATTTTTCTCTCTGGTCTTACCACCAGCGAATAGACAATCGCGACGAAGCGAGCCAGTGCTGCGATTCTGTAACTCGTTATTGGAGTTAACGACAGTTTCGTTATTGTTGCGCAGCTTTTCTACGGTATACAAAAGCTGCGCAACGATAACGAAAGGGTCGTTAACTCCAATAACGAGTTACAGAATCGCGGCAGCGATGTTACCGTAAGGCAGACGTCGCCATCCCCCTTTTCACCCCCTTGTTTTCCTTTCCACATTGTTTTATATTCATAATTCGGGAAGAAAATAATTTCGGGAGTTCGGACGATTTCTAGCAATGACGCGACAGAGATAACGCGCGGCCACATTAATTTGTCATGACTTTTATATTACTTATAATTACATAAACGCCCATATATACAAATTATAGATAACTATTGCGCGTATGTTTTAATACTGTACAATATGGCATATAATAACAACAACTTCATTTCTTGTAGTATTTTTTTAAGATCTTCGTTGAGGTCGTGAATTAATTATTTTCTTCAACAATCAGTTTTCTGCAAAAAATAAGATTTTTTAAATAAAATATAAAATGTTTCTCTTCTCTTCTCTCCGAAAAGTTAATTAAAAAATATGTACTCCGCAGAGTCAACTAACAAATGTGTAGTCAGAAGAGTCAATTTAAAAGTGTACTCCGAAAAGTCAATTTAATAGCGTATTCCGAAGAGTCAATTTGAAAGCGTATTCTGAAAAATCAAATTAATATTGTAATCCGAAAAGTCAATTTATAATAGAATATTTACTTCGATGATTCAGCTAAAGCAAAAATATTTATTATTATTATATATATTCAGAGAATAATATTTAATTTATTATTTATACTTATCTTACTTATGCTTACCCTACATATGCTTCTTTGAATGAAAAATTTAATTTGTTGACTGATTCAGATTTAGATTTGTTAAAATATCTCTTATGCGCAACTCTTGAACAGGTAGGTAGTAAAATAACTTTTTTTCTTTACGAATTTTATAAACTTTTCACGAACATAAAAATTGAAAGATTCTCAGAGAACAAATAACTTTTCTTGAACATTTAAATCAAAGGAAAATCTTTTCCCATTAATAAAGAATGAATAATTAATATCTCACACGAGAGGAATCTTCATCCTTGAAATAACCGCGTGATTTTGCTTTTAGAAAAGTATAATATTGATGTAATAGTAACAAATGCTATCCAATAACGGCAAATCTTAAACGTTTTTGAGAAATGCAGTTTGAAGTTTAGTCTTTTCTGTTAATGTCGTTATAGCAGAAGAATTACCAATTTGCTTCAGTAGCGCAGTGGATGAGGCTTTGTGATATGAGCGTAGAGGTTGTTCAAGTGTGTTATTTTTACTATCTCAGGGAGAACTATGTAGAATGTATAATAATACGCAGACAAATTCTTTACACAATCATACTTATTTCTTTTAACATGAATAAAAATGATCAATGCTAACGTGATAAGTGTATATCGCAATTGTACGTGTACGCAATTGTACACATACACACACATACACACGTATACCAATGATGTCAAAACCGAACAATTCGTGAACAAATGTGAAAATTTTTTATTGATCGCAATTGTACGCAAAGACGAAAGAGAAGTACATGGGTCTCCGCGGGTATCTCGTCATATTAATTGTCTATGAGCTGATAAACAGTTGACCTCCGGTATTTACAAGTTACGCTCGTCCGCGGCTTGTTCGGTTTTGACATCATTGGTATCAGTGATGCAAATTTGGTGACGGGCTTGCACGAGAATTCTCCCCTCCCCCCCATATACGCACACAGCCAGCTCGGTCAATCTGCATGAGCCATGCGATCGGCAATTGTCGCCGCGCTGAGCGGGCGAGAGAGAGAGAATATCATTCCCTCCTTGTCGCTCTCGTTCTCGCTCAGCGAGCGAGCCTAATTCTTTCTTGCCCATAATCTGAATCGCGGGCGCGACTGTCTCTCTCTCTTTTCCTCTCTATGACAATACTGAAAAGTTTTGTTTACTCGGCGCGCCGAAATTATTACAAATAATATTTTATTATTAATAATATTATTTGTAATATATATTATTTGTAATATTATTATTTGTAATTTTATTTGTAACTGTATAATAATGTTACAAATAATACAAATTTTTACTAATTTTATTTGTAAAAATTTATATCATTTGTAATATTATTTGTAATAGTATTGATAATATTCGGCGCCAAGAAAATGAGATATATTTTATTAATTATTTTGCGGGCAGGTTCACAGGTTTGATTATTGAATTGTTTAATAATATTTTAAGAATAATTTTAAGTTATACAAGGATGTAGTATGAAATATAAAAGAATATTGTAACAGAATCAAGAAGTACGAAATGAAACCTCTTTGCTTTTATTACAATATCCTGTAAGATAATAAATATTTTTCATACAGTATTAAATAATCTCCAAAAACAATTACATCCGTGAAATTTTCTATCTGCGCGAAAAAATTCATAAAATATATTTGTTTCGTCGCTCTAAATGAGAAAACTCTCAGAACAATGTTATAGTTGTTCAGTGCACTATTCAATAAAAATATAATAATACTATGTTTGTATGTGTGAAGAATATTTGCTAACTTACAGGATATTGTAATAAAAGCAAGGAGGTTTTATTTCGTACTTCTAAGACCAAGACTTATTAACGGCTAAAGACATATTCGAATTGATCTTGCCTTAATTGGTCGAATCAGTGATCGATCTTGCCTTAAGTTCCAAGCCTCATAACTCGGAAAGTACTCGATGAAATGTAACTTTGTTAGAGTGTTTTGGAATGCTCTCGAGATAAGCTACAAGAATATGTAATAAAAAATCGTAGTTTCTATTTAAAAAAACATTAATGACCTTGGCCTGATTTTGACAAGGTCACTTCACTCAAGGTCAAGTCCA